CACGGCCGAGTTAACTTTAATTGCCCGGTTGGCTACATAATAAATGACATTGCAGACGGCCAAGCGGAGGAAAAATTGTTTCGTCCTCCGCCTCCAACACCCACCGACCATTCCTCCTGTTTCTTCTCCTCGTTCCCTCGCTGGGACGATTTCTGGCCCATATTGATGGCCGTGCAATCTTATTTTCAGCGGTGCATTCGTCTTACGACGCGTCACTTTAAGCTCTCGCGCCCTCTTTTCGACGGCGATTTATTATCACCTGGGATTAAATCCTCGCCAGGATTGAAAGGATGAAATCACCTTCCAATCGTTTTCTCTTTTCTTCTTTTCGTATGTAATGTATATGTAAATTTTGGTCGAAGTATTCGCGAGACTTTGAAAGGATATTGTAAATTTCTAGTTCTTCTCGACGGAATTCCGGTCCGAACTTAGATCGATAATTTTTTGGGTGACAATAGATTCGATCATCGGTGCATTTAGCGATTTTGTAAACAATAACCAAGCTTACTTCAAGAAAGAAAGTTGCTCCGCTTCTTTTACCTGCATTCTTTTCTTTTTCGATGCGTAGATTTTTATTTTTTCAAGCACAATTTCGAAATTTAAGTTCCATTTAAGATATCATTTTTATCATTTTTATCATAATTTATCCAATTGAAATGTAGAATACAGTTTCTAATCCGGGAATGAAGAGATTTTTATGCAAGATGCGAGATATCTCGTGCAAGGTGCGAACGATTCATTGGTTAAACGAACGTGTTTTATTTTACGAGAATCGTGACCCACAAGTGACAAGAAAGAGAACGTGTACAGCGTTTCATCGAATCCCCGATGGCGTCACTTTGACGACATCACGAGAGCCAACTTCCGGGAGTCGAATCGACTTTCCTTCCCGCGGCTTTTTCTTCGCTTTTCCGCTTTAAGAACGCGCTCTGGATGCCGAACAAGCGCCGCTTAAAGTACTTTCATAGCGGGACGACTAATTAGAGCGATTTAGCGTCCGTCGTCGACGTTTATTTGGAATGCAAATGCAGACTTTTCCCAACCCTTTTCCACTCTTCTCTCACCACTCTCCTTCTTTCGTTCTCCTCGTTGCTCTTTCCTCCAACCGACCCTTTTCCCTTTTCTCGCTCTCCTTTCGTTTCTCCATCCTTCCATTCTCCCTTTCTCTCTTTCTATTCTCTATATTCGTTCTGCCTATTGTTTCCCATTCTCCACCTCCTCTGTTGCATCCTGTCCTCTATTCGTCCGTTCTTCTCGTTAACCCTTTCTTACACCCTCGTATAATTTCTCGCTTGATGCATTATTTTTTAATTTTTCGAGAGCACCTTGCGTGGAGCACCCTCTTAACCCTAAAACGCACGATTTTTGGGGATTAGCTTGGTTTCTTCGTCGTTATAACTTTTTTGAGGATTTTTTAAAATATGAAATAACAATAACAATTAATCCAAATCTAATCTCGTATGGATCCGAGTATCTCAAAGTATCTCTTTTCGTCGAATCTATCACGAAAATTTTAAAGCATTTAATCTCTGATCTTTGACGATTTGACGATTCTAATCCATTTTCATTTTCTTCAATTATTATCGAAAGAAGAAACTATAAGAAAATTTCTTTGAAGGTTTAGAACACGCAAAAGAAAAAAGGAAAAAAAAGAAATAGCAGATCTGTAAACTCCAGTAAATATTAGATAAAAGAGTTTACAAAAGATCGAGGATATCGGATGTCACCGAAGGATCCATCCTACGATAAATCCTATTTCCTCACGTTTCGCCCCTCCTTCAACATCCCTCTTCAAACCGTGAAGAAAGAACAAGCGAAACACGTGATCGAGGCAAAGTGGTGGAAACGAACGACGGTGGGTCGAATCGTTTTCTCCTCCGTTGCAAGTTGCGGCGGGTGTTTTCCAACGCGTGGGTTGGTTCTCTCGACCGCGAAGAGGCAGAGCGACTTAAGCGAAGAGAGGGTGGGACGGTTGAATGGGGGGGTAATCGAATGAATGGAAAGCGCGGCTGCTTTCGTCAGGCCGGCCTGAAAGGGATGTTAGGTGTTGTTTAAGGGTTATTGTCGCGGCCCTTTTGTCCCCTCTATTCGCGAGACGGAGTCTGCAAGGGTGCACACCACCGTCGAATGTAATTTATCGGAGCGGAAAAAGGGCGCGTTATCTCGACGACCGTCGCCAACGGCTCTTTCATCGGAAACCATCGTCATCGTCCACGGAGAATCCACGAGGCGGCCTCTTTTCATCCGCTGATTTTTTTTTTTTTTTTTAGAATTATACATAGAGGTTATTGCGAATCCTACGTAACGAGCACACCAGTGGAAAGGGATTTGTGGAGTAAGAAAATTCTTAGGGAAATGTGAGAAACTGAGTAAATAAGTTTTAAAGTATAATGAATATTGTAGAAATTAAAGTGATGTAAGTATGTAGAATAGAGTCATTCGTTGCAATGAAATTTTGACAGAAGTCCAAAACTTTTGGCGATTTGTCGAGCGAGAAAAAATGAGTTGGACAAGCGTGGAAACACATCGTACGAATGATTACTATTTCTATCGTATAAAATAGAATATTAATTTTGCCAAGAAAATTTGTGAAATTCAACAACAAAGTAATTTGAGAAGTTTATAGGCAAGTGTGAAAGCTTCTTGGAAAAAATTTGTATCATCGTGATTTTTATTAGTGAAAGATGATAAAGTTAGAGGAATACGAGTTGTCACGAGGTAAGATATAATTCTGATATGCAATATTACGAATATTTAAAAAATGGAGAAAAAATTTAATTTCCCGTAGCTTTTTTCAATTAACTATTTATTAACTTGTTGCTTGTCGTTTGAGACTCGTTTAAACAAGAAGGAATTCAATTTACCCGAATTACTTCAATCAAAACTCCGGAGATTTTCTAACTACTTTATTACCGGTTGACAAAGAGGAACTTGGAAAATCTAATTGTTTCAACCGTCTCCTCAATTCGATGCTTCTTTCTTTCTTGTACCAATTATTAAATCTTAAAAAAAAAAAAAAAAAAAAAAAAAAAGAAAAAAAAGATTAAAATTTAACCCCCCATTGAAAAAAACAAAAAAAAAAAAAAAAAGAAAGAAAAGATTAAAAATTTAACGCGACATTGAAAAAATACATGAATAATAATTAAACAGATTTTATAAATACATCTGATTCTGGTTTCACTTTCAATTGAAAAAAAATAATCATAAGAATATTTTTATATTACTTCTTCATATTTTACATCCACTTTACAAGCTTAAAATATATCGTTAAGAAATTTAATTTTTCGCCATCTTTCCCAACATGTTTATCGTTAAACGAAATCCTTTCGTCGCTTCGCCATTAGTGTCTTTATCGCGAAGCAATCAGCACTCTCTTGGCAACAAAATACGAGAACCCCGATTACAATTTATAACGAATTTTAATAGCAACTATTACTCACGACTGAGACCATCGAGCGAGAGCACGAAATCTGGTAAACCGTAAACGTGATTTTCATGACCATAAACCTCTTCGTTCCTGACAATTACACTTGCAACTTTCTTTTCGAACGACGTCTCTCGTTCAATATTTTCGATGGCGACGATATGTGGAAACCTTGAGACTCTGTTCAAATTTCTTTTATCCAACGAATATTTTGATATCCAATAAATGTTTTCCCGCGAAATTATTCGTACACGAGAACGATTAAAATCCATTTTTTTTTTTTGCAAATTATTAAATTTTAGTAGGAAAATAATGTGTTTAATTTTTCTTTTTTCGAGAGGAGATATTGATAGAAATGATCGATCTCGCTTTCACATAACTCATGTATATCTTTTTTTTTTAATCTTGCGTAGAAATTATTCGAATTTATACGGTGAAATTTCATGGATTGATCATAAATTTTATTTTTATAAAATTTAAAAATAATCGTCGAGGATCGTGTAAAATTAATCAATATTGACGTATGATATTGTTATCGAAGCTTATCGTAGTGAAGAATTTTACTTTAATCTTAATATATTAACTTCAAAATTATTTCTATTGATTGTTTGATTATTTCTGAGAGTTCTTTCCTCAACACTACTTCGTGGGCAGTGTCTATCCACAATCAGTGGTGAAAAATAATTTATCATCCCCGAGAACTTCTCTCTTAGACTTCTCTCTTTCCCATGATGAGATTGGAACTTAGAAAAATTTCTACATCCAGTGGTAGCGGAGTAGAAGTGCGGGTAAAATTCCAGAGGGGATTTCAGATAGAATTCTTCAGACAACGAGAAAACATTAAGAAAAGGGAGAAATTCGACAGCAAAAAATTTAAAAAAGAAGAAGAAGAAGAAGAAGAAAATGTCGAAAATGTCAAAAGATAAATGAAATTAAAATTACAAGGATAACTACAAACGTAACACAGAAAAAAGTAATACGAAAGCTTGATCATTTTAACATTCTCTCTGCGTTTCTCCTCTTTTCTTTCCAAACAAGGCGAAATGCAACGATGCCTCAATTCCATTCTCTCTTTTCAAATCTCCATATACGTCTTTCTCATCTTACCTCCCTTCCTTTCTCTCCTCCCGATAAATTTATTCACTCAACTTGCACGTTGCAAGGAACACTAGTACGTGCACAAGATTTCGCCGTTATTAAAGACAAATTTTTCTTCGAGTTTACAACGGGAGAGGGAGGGAAAAGAAAACGAGAGAAGCAAAAGTTATCACGCGTATTATACACTTAAAAGTTTAACGTCCTGGTAAAATCATAGCAGCGCCAACCGTTTCGTTTAAACCGGCGCGAGAAACTTTCCGCGCGAGAAGAAATTGCGTTAAAGTTTGGACTTTAAGCCTGCCAAACTGCATCCCCCTCTTTCTCTCTCTCTCTCTTTCTCTTTCATCGTTCTTCGCTCTTGAAATATTATCGTCACCGTTTGGTGACGAGCCAAATGTTTAACATTTTTTCTTTTTTTTTTCTTTTAAATTTATATTTCGTGAAGGAATAAAGAAGAATTTTCGTTTCCCTTTCGCAGAAAATATGCGTGTTCCAAAAGACGCTGGAGGATCTTTCGTCGCGGATGGCCGGCGCCGAGGCGATTCAAAGCGGGTGGCAGAATCCAAGCGACGCGAACGAGGCGACGGAATTGCTGAAGCAATTGGAGAAATTCGGCGAACGACTGTTGCCCATCCAGAGGAGCATCGAGTACGCGAACGATCAAGCGAGCGTCTTCGCCTCGAGCAGCGTCATCGTTTCTCATGCTTTGCTGGCGAAACTCGAAGATCTCAACACCAGGTATGTAGAATACTAGGAACGCCTCTTCCTATTTCAAATTTATCTCCTTAATGCGACTAACTGTCTCCACTTAAAGAGAAATTTTACTCTTTTCCTTGGATCTTATTATACGTATGTGTAATGTACGGGATATTTTAAACGATAATATACTTTTGGTCTTCTGAGTAATGTCAGTAATTCCAAAAGCTTTTGAGAGGCTTTTGTCGCGGTTGAAAGAATTATTAAAGAAGTAAAGAAGTTAGGAGGAAATTTACTCGTTTAAAGAGAAACGAAAATAGCGAGACGAGATATCGCATGTGTTTAAACACAGATATAATAAATATCGATATCGATTGTAATCTGGAACTCGCGCTAAATGGTTCGGTATTTATTGCGACATAATGCGTTCACCGTGTACAATGTGTTTTACATTTTAATAACTTGGGCTTCATCCGCCGAATAACAAAGAGAATTTATGTAATATTCCCCAGATGCGCGAAATTATAACGCACGCAATTCTAATTCAAGCTTTTAAACAACAATGTTATACTCACTCCACACTTCTACTAACTCCACGATTATTTATATTCTTCTTTTCGCGTAGAATAATACGCTATTCAGTTGTGCAACACTGCACTTGTCTGTTTAATGTAACGTTTCACGATACGAATCTTCCATCCAAAGATTCAAAAATGCACAACTTCACCCTTCAAACGCGAATAAAGCTATCGATATTCATTTTTCCTCGACACGTTTATTTCCTCGACATTTATATAACAAAATGGAAGCCACACTTCCTTATCACGAATTGATATTCTTCTTGCAATCATTAAAAGTTAAAAGTTTTAAATTGATATCTATTATCGTTAAAAAAAAAAAAAGTATATTTAATACTCGTTCTTTTTTTTTTTAAAGTTTCGCAATGATTCTAAAAAAAAGAATGAGGATTACTCGACATCGTTGCTTATTTTTTAACCATCGCTCGAAGGAAGCTAAGTTTTTCGCGTGTTTTCGCAGGTGGAAGGTGCTGCAAGTGGCGGTTGACGAGCGTTACAAGTTGCTAAGCGGATTTGGAAAGGATGGCAGCACTCCGGGTAGCCAGGCTTTCCTCGCGAGCAGCGTGGAACCACCATGGGAGAGAGCCCTCACACCCGCCAAAGTGCCTTACTATATCAAGTAATCGATCTTCCTTGCACCGAGCCAAACCCTGGCCGGTTTAATTTATCGAGGGAGGGAGGAAGAGGGGGAGCCATAGGATCAGGAGAGGGGCGCGATCTTAAACGCAAACAAACGAATAATTGATGAGACAATTGTGATTCGAAAGGGGGAAGAAGTTCGCGAGAATCTCGTCTGGAGATTTGACGAATATTTAGTCGAGCTTTTGGTGCTTGCGAATGGATGAAACGATAGAAATTCTAATTTAGATAGACGACCAGATTTGGAATCGAGGAAGGCTCGATTCTCGATCGAGGAATATTGGTCGCGTAATCGGTAATGTTTTAATCTTGATCGAAAACGAAATCGATATTGTTTGATATTCGCGTCGATTTCGAACCGTGTTTTATATCGTTTACACATTATTAAAAGTTACGATCACGAATTTCAATAGAAATATTTCAATACGGATGATGGATCGAAAATTTTTCTAAAAGTAATTTAAAACGTGAGAGGCAACTTGAGGTAAAATATTAACTGCCGGCGAAATGTTAAAACTCGGAACTGGGAAGGATTAAATTTTAGCTTCCATACTTTTCCATAACTGTCATAACCAGAGAGACAGGTGGAAAGAGCAGCGCGAATCGCCATCTTGCGGGTCCCTCGATCGAGAGTTAAAGCCGATTTTGGTTCGCCCCTATATCCGGATCATCGCGAAGACCATAGAATCCGATGAATTCGCGAATTCGTCGAGCCGTGGATAAATTCTTAAAACCTAGGCTTGCCTCTCGTCGAGCCAAGAATCGCGGCCGCGGATTTAATAAAGATTAAACAAAGTTCTCCCGCGAGAACTTTGCCAACTTCCCTTTCTCCTTGATCCGTGGCTGTTGCGTGAAAATTTTCATTGAATCTCTTAATCCTGGATCGGGTTTGTCTAATCCCGAGGGGGGGACGGTTTTGCAGCCATCAGTCGGAGACCACCCATTGGGATCATCCGAAAATGATAGAGCTGATGTCCTCGCTGGCGGACCTGAACGAAGTACGATTTTCAGCGTACAGAACCGCCATGAAACTGCGCACCGTTCAGAAACGATTGTGCCGTGAGTATTGTTGGCATTTAGTAGCGATCCTCGACCGGTAATTAATTTGTTTATCGTGTGTGTTCGTTAATCGTCGTTAATTTTCTCGATTAATCACGTGTCCATGCAGTGATGACGCATGGTTCTCGTCGTCGTCGTCGTTGTTGATGGATTTGATCTTTTGCATGATTCTGTTTTGCTTGGCGAATCATCAGTGGTATTATTCATTCACGGTATTCTTTGAAATAAAATATATCTATCTCCGATTCCGATATATTCCGATAATCTATCCATCTCCGTCCCGTTCCGTTTTATTTATTTTTTATTTTTTTATTTACAGTGGACATGTTGAGCCTTTCCACCGCGTTAGAGCAATTCGATTCGCACGGGCTCCGAGCGCAAAACGACAAACTAATCGACATTCCCGACATGGTGACAGTCTTGACGTCCCTGTACGAAGTGATAACGGCGGACAACCCGACGCAAGTGTCTGTCCCCTTGTGCATCGATTTGGCCATCAATTGGCTCCTCAACGTGTACGATAGGTGAGCACGATTATTCGTAATTAAATAAATCATAATGTTGCTCTAATATCCGTTTGACGAAATAATAATCAAAATCGTTGATTAGTAAATTGTCATTGTCGTATTTCAGTCAACGAACCGGTCAGATTCGCGTGCTTTCCTTCAAAGTTGGTTTGGTCCTGTTGTGCAAGGGTCATTTGGAAGAAAAATATCGATGTGAGTATTTTCGAAATTCTATCTGTCATATTTATTTTCGAAAAGCAGATAGTGTAAAGTAAGTGAAATTCCAGATCTATTCCGGCTGATCGCTGATCCAAACAGATTGGTGGATCAACGAAAGCTCGGTTTATTGTTGCACGACTGCATCCAAGTGCCGAGGCAGTTGGGAGAAGTGGCGGCGTTTGGCGGGTCGAACATCGAGCCGAGCGTTCGCAGCTGCTTCGAGAAGGCTGGAAAAGACAAAAATGAAATAGAAGCGGTTCACTTTTTGAGCTGGCTGCAACAAGAGCCGCAGAGTATGGTTTGGTTGCCTGTGCTTCATAGACTCTCCGCCGCGGAGAGCGCAAAGCATCAAGCGAAATGTAATATATGCAAGGAGTATCCCATTATTGGATTCAGGTATTCATGTGCTTGCACGATTCTACTCTCTTCGAATGATTAAAAATATTTAAGAAACAATTACGAAAAAAAAAAAAAA